CCCCCCAGCGGCATTACCAGGCCAGGTGTCACCCAGTGCGGCCGCGGGCAAAGGGAGGAGGGGGCGGTTATCCGGTGGGATAAGGTATGCCGCCAGGAACCCTCCTCTCTCGTGCCGCTGTTGGGCTCTCGGTCCATGACTGAATGCCCGACTTTTCTGAGGGGGTGACAAGAAATGACTGTCAGTCAATTTGGCGTCACCCCCTCTGATGGTGTCACCCTGTGTGGGCCTCACCCCCGCATCCCCCTTGTGATGCTACTGGGTCCCCGTCCTCACTGCAAGGGTTAACTGCTAATTTTTCCTAGTGGATGATGAATAAGATGATTTACTTACCTAATTTCTTGCTTCTGCAGGCTTCCTCCTCTTTCTGTTCTTTGCTTCCCGACGGGTCGCAGATCGCTCACATCATCCCCATACAGTGCAGGAACAGCAGTCTGCATTGAATGGGGGGACACCGAGGACCTGCTTATATTTCAGAGCATTGGACAGCGGAGGAGAGCACTAACTGCTGGGGAAGTAATTAATAAGGTAAGTTTATCACATTATTTATCACCTTCTAGGCAAAACAAGCATTTATCACTTACAGTGGGGAAGAGTACCCACTGCAAGGGTAAAGACATTTGTACTCGGAGTTCAGCTTTAATACAATTCTGTTTTTTTCTCCAGGTTTACTCTTTTGGCCATATGTCAACCATATGTCTACAAAAAAGTAACTTTTACCCCAGCAATGCTGTTTGTACTCACTGCTTAATATGAATTAATTTTTGTTTCATCCTTGCAGCCTTATACAAGGAGAAATATCATCAGAAAAAGAACAAAGTAGCCTGCACTGCCCAGAAGTCTTTCAACCTTATGGGTGGATTTTCACATATTTGGGGAAAAAATATGTTTTTATGCAGTGTACTATATATTAACATATACACAATAAAGTAAAGGATATCAAACTAACCTTACAACTAACTGCTAGGTAACAGTAAGTTGCAAACTGGAGCCACTGACGTTTGCATTTTCTTTAAAAATTCCTTTGTGTCCCAGGCTCAATAGGCAAATAGTGACTTACGGGAAATTCATTGCTGAGGCATTGCCCCACTGAATCCCATATTGCAATAAGGAAGCTTTTTTGGTAGATTACTATGGTGCCCTGCTGCCTTGGAAGAAGTAGTGTGGGCATTCAACGGGGTATCTCACAGTAACACATTTTTTATGTCAGCAACTCTGACCGAATCCACTGCTGTAAACACATGCTGGTCTTTGTTGAGCATTTTTGTTTATTCTTAGGAATAGTAGACTGAGAAGGAGTAGTTGTAGAGAGGTGCAAAAAGACACCTGTAGTGCCAATTGCTTTTTGGGGAACAACAGAACTGACAAAAAACTTTCTAACTTGCCTGAAAAATTTCCCATCTGCCCAGAGCAGTTGGCCAGTGGTGTCATTCTCGCCAATAGATATAAGATTGCTGATAGACTCAAAATTGGCCATGTCCCCAAAACACTCCTTTCTTTACATAATCATGCCCCAGCATTAGGGATGTCCCGATACCGATGCTAGCATCGGAATCGGGCCCGATACAGGGCATTGTGACAAGTACTTGTACTTGTCAAAATGCCCCGATACAAAGCGCCGAAGCTTGCGCTATGTTTTTTTTTTTAACTTTACCTTCCGTGGTGGCTGTGCGGAGGAACGTTGCGTCACTTTTGTGGGCGGAGCTCCAGCTGGGGTCCTAATGTAGGCTGGAGACTGCCCAGAGGATTCCACCTGGAGCTCCGCCCACTGCAGTGACGCGTCGCTCCGCCGCTCAGTGACGCCGACGTCCAGCGCCGCCTACATCAGTGGTGGATCCGGGGGGAGGAGGGGGATTTGTACGCCCGCAGATAGAGCCGCTCTCTGCCACTGGTGACAGAGTACATCCCCGCACAGCCACTGCGGGGACATGCAGCTGTCACAGACAGTGTAAAAAACAAAAAACCGGCACAGTACAAGTAGTACTTGTACTACTTGTAGCACTCCAGGCAGGTGCCGGCCACCTAAATTAGGACCCCACCTGGAGCGACGCCCACCGGAGCAGCATTGACGCGACACTCCTCTCCAGCTCGGTGCCGATCACGTCCTCACTTGTGAGAAAAATCGTGAGGCACCGCGATCGAGGCAACAGTGAGTAAGACGGGGCCTGGGCTTAGTTTTTTGTGTGATCTACTGCTGCAGTGCATTCTTTATGTACTGTACATATACAGTACATATAGAATGCACTGCAGCAATAGATTTACAATTCTGCACTGCTAACATGAATGGGTTAAATGATCCGTAGTACAACTACATGTTACGTACTATTATGTACTATGGATCATGATTTAACCTATTCATGTTAGCAGGGGATAATTGTAACTCTATTACTGCAGTGTACGGAACATGTGTGCTGTATATGTACTATGGATTATGATTTAACCTATTCATGTTAGCAGGGCAGAATTGAGAGCGCCTCCCACAAGCTGAGCACCGAGACGCGATGCAGCGATCCGAGACTTCAAGAGACACCTCGTGAGGCACAGGGATCGGAGTGAAACTGTGAGTGAGGGAAGCTGGGACAGGGCTGGCTGTAAATCTATTGCTATAGTGTACTGGGCGTGTGTAATGAAAAAAAAGGATCGGTAATTGGTATCGGCAAGTACATGCGGGGAAGTACTTGTACTTGGTCCTGAAAAAGTGGAATCGGGACATCCCTACCCAGCATGTATAATGATCATTCCATTTTAAGCAGGGGAAGACAAATTTATATGGAACCCAGAGCCAGTCTGTCCTATCCATGAGCCAGCTCTATTGACAACAGCTAGAGAAAACCTCCAAAAATTGGGTAATAGCTGTCATTTTTCAGGAGCATTTGCTACCCGGCTACTGTTGTTGAGAACAGACGAACCCTTATTTTAAATGTTATGGTAATAGTTGCAAACTTTTCTCATTGAAGTAACAAAAAATGTACTAGTTTAACATAACTGCAACAATAAATCTACATTTTTCTGTGCACAAAATCAGTAAAAGGTTTCATTTAAACATTAAAAAACTACAAAAATGCAACATTTGTGCAAATCTAAAAAAAAAAAAAGTTTTGCTTGAGCTTCTACGGTATCTTGAAAAGATTTCTGAACACAACTTTTTGTGTTTAACAAGACCCATTTTTGATTTTTAAGGTGACTGATTACATTAATATACCAGTACCATGAAATCACTAGTCATTTTCCTTATACCAGAAAGGCTTTCTCTCTTTTATCTTTTTATGGATGTATATGTTTTGCTGTTCAGCAGTATGTACTTATCACTGGAAATGTTTGATATGTTTGCAATAATCACCCTTGTTTGTATCACTTTATACAGAAACACAATGACAATGGAACAACATATTAATAAGAAATGATCTCTCCCACACTCTGCTTTGTTTATAAAAATTCTAGGAATTTAAAGTTCTAGCCAGCAGGTGGCAGTGCATACTTTTTTAAATATGTATTGTCAATATGTGCATGGGATTGTGGGTCTTTTGAATGCACATTCATACAGTACATATTTGTATTAATGTATAAAAATTATATGTGCCTATTGTCAGTCCGGCGGTGGAGGAGGCCAGGCCCAGCAGCGCCGGTCTGGTGGCAGGGGAGGCTGGGCCCAGCAGCGCCGGTCTGGTGGCAAAGGAGGCCAGAAGCAGCAGGTAAGGAGCTGCATGTGCAGGGAAAGGGACCCCGACCAGCCCACCTGAGATTCCGCAGAGGCCACTATAGTGAGTCTCCGTGGGCTGTGCAGGCTCTATGGTGGGCTGTGTGGGCTCTGCAGGAACTCCGGTGGGCTCTGCGGGGCCTCAGGTGGGTCCAGAGTCCAGTACATTTGCTATGTCCAGAGTCCAGTGCGTTTGCTATGTCCAGAGTCCAGTGCGTTTGCTATGTCCAGTGCGTTGCTATGTCTAGAGTCCAATTCATATACTGTTCTGCATTGCTGTATAATGTATTGCTGGGATTTGTAGTCCCCCTGCAGCCGGTGCCATTTTGCATTAGAATGTAAGCTCCTCTGTGCAGAAACTAATATTACTGGCTCAGTGTTCTCTGTACAGCACTGTGGTATATGTCAGAGCTATATAAATGTATAATAATAGTGTAAGACTGAGGGGGACATCAGAGTGTAAACTCCTCTTGTGCAGAGATCGCCGGGGGGTTGAGGAGCCAGTGAGGTCCGCTCCTTGCCCCCCACCAGGGCCATTTATTCTTTCGGTCTGCCACTGAAATGGACCTTTACTTAACAAAATTTAGTTTGCTAAAGCATGTTGTATCATAAATGAATATCTATTTTAAACTAAAATACTTGTTTTTACCTTTTTTCATTCTTTGTTGCATCTCAGTGCTGCTGATATCCTGCAACCTCTTTGCTTCTTCCTGTCTATATGCATGCACTCCAGTGATGGCTGCATGGCATTTCTCAGGTTGGGTTTCCTTATGTGTGATAAAAAGGCTGCTTGAGACCTCCATCAGAAACTCATGTGACAACACAGGAGGACAACTGGCAGATAAGGACAGATCCTTGTCACTCTATAAAAGGAAGTGCCTGAACAATGACCTTCAGGGCAGGATTACCATGTATTAATTTAATGAAATCTGTAGACTTTAAAGATTGCCCTTATAAAATTACATTGACATGTTAAAGTTTATATGAGATTTTAGTGATTAGCTTTACATATGCTTTAAACCGGGTCTTCTTTTGCAAGGTCTATTTTTTTTAGAATTTTTTCTATAGGTGGCAGAGTTGCTTTAAAGTGGAACTGAAGATAATGCTAATTTTTCTAGCTCTGCCTAGCATTATATGTCTGTTAACAATTAACATTGATACCAAAGCACAACAAATACCATATACAGTATGTTAGATATCAATATCTTTTGCAATATCGTTTACTCACTCAGCCTTTTTATTTTTATGATATGACCGTCTCCATGGGCTGCGCCAGGATTTCCTCTTGGCCAGAGTAGTGTCTGGAAGAAAGGCAGCTAGTGAGCCCTCCAGGAGGTCAGGCTTGCCACACAGTGCATGCTCCGTTGAACAGTAGTAAGAGCACTCGCCATAGAAGCAAATGTTATTGGCTGGGGAGATAAGTAATACAGGTCAGGTTCTATAAGGTAGCAATTCATTTAACAATTGGGCAATGGAAGAGCCCATTTATTAATAGGAACCAACCAGAGACTTTGCAGTGCTCCTGCCATATTACTGGAACACTTCAATACTTATTTTTTTGTGTGTGAAAAAAACCCAGTGGGGCCCACTTCAGTCAACACCAGTGTTGCACATCAGACATTTAAGCTGGTATCCTTTTTATGTGCTTAAAGGAGAACTATGAGATGAGTGATTTTCACTCACCTCATAGTTCTAGCCGACCTGTGACAATGCGACTGTCACCGGGTTCGCTCACCTCTCGATCCTGTCACGGCTCTCTGCCGTGACATGGGGAGGGGCTGGATTCCCCTCTTCCCGCTCCGATCTGCCAGCGCTGACTGGCGGAACGGACGGGGGAGGGGGTGGGTACAACTGGCTCTGCCTTTAGATAGGCAGAGCCAGCTGTCACTCACGCAGCTGGGCGGATCCCGACGTCCATGTCGGGATCCGCTCCGGCTACGGTGTCTCAGTATACCGCGGGCTGTAGCTCGCGGTATACTGAGCTTAGGGTAACGGGAGGACGCTAGTTTGTGTCCTCCCGTTACCCTAAGGAGAACTATGGGGAAAAACACTGACCCCATAGTTCTCCTTTAAAGTTGTCACACTTACCTCCCCTGGGATCCAGTTTAAGGTTTCCTTTCCAGCACACAGCCACTGGAACTTAAAGGTTTTACCCCGAGTACTGGTGTCAAGGCTATTCAGCAGACAGGTCTCCTGGTTAGAGCTGCAGCCAACCAAGAGACAAATTAAGATTGTTGCCCCACCTAGAGCTTGTATATATCCTCTCAGCCTCTCAGAGACCAAGGCCATGTGAGATTACATATCTGAAAATCAAAAAAGGCTTTATCTGCAAATCTTCTTCCTCTGCTATGGCTTGATGTCTTCTTTGTAAAAAAAATACTGTAATCACCACACCTGTACTGATGATCATGGACTTAACACCATCACTGTCAAGAGCTGTTACTGGCTGCCCCTTATTACAAAGATCTTTGATCCCCTCCATGAAGTCTTCACTAAATTAGATCTATGATGTGCATACAGCTTAATTGGTATTATTGGTAACTTAATTGGTAGTGGTGAGGATGACTCTAACTGCCAGCCCCTCCTCCCGTGCCCTCAGACTTAAAACATTTGCAGATTGGTATCATCGAAGAGCTCCACTTTTCCAACCCAGAGATAAAGTTTGGCTTGCCACCAAAACATTTGTCTCAAATTCCCCTCCATTAAGTCAGCCCTGCATTATATCGGGCCTTATGTAATCACTGCAAAGATCAATTCAGTCTGCTACAAACTTTGAATGCCTCTGCATCTCAAGTTACCAAATCCATTCCATGTACCATTGCTCAGACTTCTGGTCCTGAATAGATTATCTTGTCCTTTGTTTCTAGCTACTTCCTCTCAAGAATATGAGTTTCACCAAAGTCTGGATTCCAAGATTTCTCATTGAAAACATCAAAACCCGAGAGTAGAAAGTAAGTGCTTCTACCTGACAATTCTGGGTTCCTGCACTGGATGTGTTGGCCCCTCACCTGCCCAAAAATTCAATTTCAGCTTTGCATTGAAACCAGGACCTCGACGAGAGGGGTAATGTCACATATACGTGCTATGCTTACAGCAAGTAGGCTCAGGTTCTGTTTAAACTGTATATCACGGGAGCCACGTACCTGAGGTAAGACCGAAGTAGTGGGGAGGCCTCCCTTACACCTCGGGTCCTTGAAGTCTCTGGAGATGGAGACAGAGACTTGGTGGACACCGAGTAGCACGGGTGCCAGGGGTGCGGAGCACCGTGCAAGCCTTAGTCGGAGATCCGAGCCGAGGTCAAGTCCACTCTGGCAACAAAGTACACAAGGGTTAATCAGAAGAATGGTCGAGATCCAAGCCGGGGTCGGTTCCAATCTGGCAGCTGAGTACAAAAGGGGCAAAGCAGTAGAATGGTCAAGGTACAAATCCGAGGTCAATGGCAGGCAGCAATCAAGAGTAGTCAAATAGGTTTCCAGGTCACAACAATGTCAGACAGATCACACACTAGACAGGAACAAGGGGGGACTGAAGATAATCCAGCAATTTGGCAGTGTTTGGGCTGGGCTTATATAGGGAAGTGATGATTGAAGTTTGAGGTCACTTCCTATGCACCTCCTGGGCATTTTCCTGCGTTTTCCCATCAGGTCTTCTGCGCATGCGCGGGTTGGCGCACTGTCGTGTCTTTGGCGCATGCGCAGTTGGCGCGTATTTCCTCTTGCAATGTGCCATTGGTGCATGCGTAATAAGCCCTGGACTCTTACAGAGCCCCCCCGAAGGGGCAGTCTCCGGACGCCCGTCCGGGATGAAGCTCGCTGAAAGAACTGCCGGAGAAGATCTGGAGCATGGATATGCGACTCAGGTTCCCCGGAATTCTCTTTAGGGCCATAGCCCCTCCACTGTACCAGAAATTGGCGTCCGCGACCCCTTCTACGGCAGTCCAGGATGGCCTCCAGCTCGTACTCCTCAATCCCTTCAACCATGGAGGGAGCCGGAGGACGGGCCCCACGTTCCCCAAAGGGGTTCGGGGCCACGTGCTGCAGGAGGGAGGCATGGAAGACAGGGTGGATCCGGTAAGTTGAGGGCAGTTTGAGTTTGTAGACAACAGGGTTGAATCGGGACAGGACAGGGAAGGGCCCAATTTCTTGGAGGGACAGGCCAACTTCAAATGCCTGGTAGACAGCCAAACCTGGTCTCCCAGTTGGAGATCCAGGTCCCCCGCCGCCTTCGATCATATCTGGTCTTGTAATCCAGCTGCGCCCTGGCCATGGTATCCTTTAGGAGCTCCAAGTTGTTGTGCAGAAACTCCACTCTGTTCCAGACAGCCGGGACTGAAGCAGAAGCGGGTAGGACAGGGGCAAAAGAAGGGTGGTACCCCAGGTTGGCGTAAAATGGTGATTCCTTAGTGGTAGAATGTATTGCGTTGTTGTATGCAAATTCTGCGCAAGGAAGAAGAGGCGCCCAATTGTCTTGGACAAAGGTGGAGAAACAACGAAGGTACTGTTCAAGAGTTTGGTTCGTGCGTTCCGTTTCTCCATTGGTCTGAGGGTGATAGGCCGAAGAGTAGTGGTTCTCGATGTCTAGAGCAAGACAGAGCTCCTTCCAGAATTTAGAGGTGAACTGGACCCCACGACCGATACAATATTGCTGGGGACCCCATGGAAGCATACAATCTCCTTGATAAAAGCCTGAGCTGTTTCTGGGGCGGAAGGAGTGCCAATCATAGGAATAAAATGAGCCATTTTTGTAAGGCGGTCCACAACAACAAATATGGATGTAAACCCATCAGAGGGTGGTAGCTCCACTATGTAATCCATGCTGATCTGTTCCCAGGGTCTGGAGGGAACAGGCAGGGGGAGTAGGAGACCCCATGATTTATTTATTTCTGTTTTGCTGTGATTGCATACTGGGCAGGAATTGACGTAGCGTGGCCGTCCGCCTTGAGGGTAGGCCACCAAAAGGTTCGCAAAATCAGATTGGTGGTTTTGGTCACCCCGAAATGCCCTGCTAACTTGTTGTCATGGCAGAGTTTGAGCACTGGAACTCTCAGTTGAAGGGGCACAAACGCAGCATGGTCATGGAAGAAAAGTCCGTCCTTTTTTTGCAGATGTTCTCCTGAGGGCAGCTGGTCCAGAAAGGAGGCCAGTTTAATCCTGGACAAGAGGTCATCCGTAAGTAGGAGGAAATTATAGGCAGGGAGTATCGCGTCCGTCGTTGGCAAGTTATCTGATGTGGGATACATGCGGGATAGAGCATCAAGTTTACAATTCTTGTATCCCGGACGGTACGTGATATGCATTTGGAATTGGGTGAAGAAGAGAGCCCATCTGGCTTGCCTAGGTCTCAGACGTTTAGCTGTACGGAGGTACTCCAAATTTCTATGATCAGTGTAGATAAGGATCGGGTGCGAGGCTCCTTCCAATAGATATCGCCATTCTTCCAGGGCCAGTTTAATAACAAGAAGTTCCCGGCCCCCTACGTCATAATTCCTTTCGGCTGGGGACAATTTCCTGGAAAAGAAGGCAACAGGATGCAACATGGCTGTGGCTTCATGGCGCTGAGAAAGGACTGCCCCGACCGCAATCTCTGAAGCATTGACCTCCAGCACGTAAGGCAGGGCCGGGTCGTGATGACAAAGGACCGGGGCAGAGGTGAATTGCTTCTTGAGTTTGTTAAAAGTCGTCTGTGCTGAGGGGGACCACAGAAAATGGCTGTTTTGCTTGGTGAGCTGTGTGATGGGCGAAATTATTGACGAGAAGCCTTTGATGAATCTTCTATAAAAATTGGCGAATCCCACGAACCTCTGGACGCCCTTACGGTCCGAGGGAACCGGCCATTCAAGAACTGCAGTTACCTTCTGGGGGTCCATGGATATGCCAGAAGTCGAAATAATGAGGCCAAGGAATTGTATGGTATCTTTCTCAAACTCACATTTTTCAAGCTTGGCGTAGAGTTTATGGGCTCGGAGGCGAAAAATGACTTTTCGCATGTGGATGTGATGTGCCTCGAGGGAAGGTGAAAAAACAAGGATGTCGTCTAAGTACACTATCATGAAGAGGTCAAGAAAATCCCAAAATATATCGTTCACCAGGTGTTGGAAAGTTGCTGGTGCGTTACACAGCCCAAATGGCATGACAAGATATTCAAAATGGCCAAACCTAGTACAAAAGGCAGTTTTTCCATTCATCGCCCTCTTATCCGTATTAAATTGTAGGCCCCACCGTAGGTCCAATTTTGAGAACACCTTGGCGGTGTGGAACCTCTGAACAAGCTCAGGGACTAGAGGCAACGGGTATCGATTCTTGATTGTGATACCGTTCAATTCTCTGTAGTTGATACATGGTCTTAAAGAATGCTCCTTGTTTTCCACAAAGAAGAGTCCAGCGCCAGCAGGAGAGGTAGAGGGCCGGAT